GGAGAGGGGAGGGGGGGGTGAGGTGGGGGGGGGTGACTGTCTGTTCCTACATCTGAAGTCTCTCACCCACAGACTCCACCGTGATGGCAGATCATTAATGGACTAATTATCTTGGAGCTGTTTGAATCCACAAATATTTACGGAGTCCAGCTGGTCATGTGACCAGTCCAGTCACAGTTTCTCTGCTCTGAAGAATAAAAACACACAGAGCGGGAAATCTACTCGAAGTTTACTGCCACTAGAGGGAGCCAACAACGCTGAGGCTGAGCTGTGGGTCAGACTGAGTTAGTACTGATGTCGACCTCTGACCCGGAAACTGACCCGGACATACTGCAGTACATACTGTGGTGTAGTGAAGTAATCCAGAAACAAGAGAATCTTCCTGTGACCCAGACCTGGGAAACTGGACCAGCTGAGGTCGGAACAGAGACGACCTGACCTTGGACCAGAGGTCAAAGGTCTACCTCAGTGAACCTCAGTCCGTGCAGTTTCCTAGTCCTGAATACTGTGTGTATACTCACATACACACTGGTGTACTTCCACATTACCTCAGTACACAGGTGTAGAAGCCGTTGTCCTCCATCTCAGCAGATCTGAACCAGATGGAGTCGTCTTCTTTACTCAGCCTGTGGCCGGAGAAGATGATTGGCTCCTGAAACACACAACCAAAAACAAACACCAGGACTAGCATTATGGTGGTGTGTTTAAGAAAGCTACGTAGTTAGCTAGTTAGCTGGCTAACTTCACATCAATGTCCTCTTCACAGAGAAGTGAGTTGTTACAGCCTTTGGCTAAGCTATGCTAACATGCTAATCAAAAAGCTACATAGCTCCAGGGAAACAACAGGAAACTAGGTCAGAACAACACTAACCAGTTACCGATAAACCACATCAACACTAGTTAATATGTCAGTTGATTATAATAGTCATCGAACCATTAGTACGACAACGACGACAACAACAACGGCAACGACGACAACAACAACAACGACAACGACAACCACAACGACAACGACAACGACGACAACAACGACAACAATGACAACAACGACAACGACAACAACGACAACAACGACAACAACAACGACAACGACAACAACAACGACAACGACAACCACAACGACAACGACAACGACAACGACAACGATTATTGTTGTTGTTGTTTTGTCGTTTATTACAACAGCTCCAAATACAGAGTTGTTTTTTTTTTGTACCTTTTTTCTGTAGTATTGCGCTCCCACTGCGCCTCCCAATGTGGTTCTCCACATAACAGGTGTAGTTGGCCAGGTCGGCCTCCTCCACAGTGTCAAAGGTCAGGGAGAGCTGCACCTCCTTCTCCCCTAAATGCTCCCTCAGGATCCTGCAGAAGAAAAAAGTTCATGTTCTGATTAGACTGACACCCTGAAGTGTTTTAGTTGGTTATGTCCACAAAAGCTCAGCGACTTCCAGCGCGAGTCAAACTGGAGTCAAACTGGAGTCAAACAGTGGACCAGAACCAGAGCCCTCCACCTGTTGGACCGTGACAGTAGCGCGCCCGCCGTACCTCAGCGTCTCCTTTGTTCTTGTACCAGATGAGCCGCAGCTTGGCGTTGGTGGCCATGCTGTAGTTGGTTCTGATGTAGCTGTAGAACAGAGCGCACTTCACCCGGACCGGTTCACCTGCCAGAACATGGTACTGTTTCAGATCCACCGACCAGTCGAGGCAGCCGTCCACTGAGGAGACAGAGAAGGTAAAGACTGAGACCAGCAGAGGTCACCGGAGGTCAGCTGGACCTGAAAACCAGCCCACCAACTGTCACACACGTGAATGTCAGGATGTTTAAGAGCGTGGCTCAACATAAAGCAGCAGTCCCGGACCACGGCACGTTCACGCCATTTAGATGAGGACCCGAGTGACCTTTGACCTTTCCTGCAGTATTATGGAGGTGGCTTAAAAAACCTCAGCTGTTCAGAGATCCAGAAAGAACACCTCCCCCTGCGCCTCCTTCTCGGCCCGTCCCGCGCGTGTGTGCGAGTGAGTGTGTGTGTGTGAG